CCGGGTTGCCAGACCGCCAATTCCATTGCCAAGGTTGGGTTCATTTATCCAAGACCGTTGTAACGACATGTTGCCCACTATACACTGTAAAAATGGTGCTTAGGATTTAAACACATTTCTAAACACTTATTCTGTACCCACTTTTTCCACACGTTTAGCATCATGACATGTTTAGATGTCCTTTTTCTGTGACACGCATTATCCGTTTGACATGTTCAATGAATCATATGTTTAGCATTTAAACACCTTCCTATGCGCATTTAGATATACAATCCTAAGCACATGTCCAAAACGTAAACAAGTTTTGTTTCACAACATTAAAAAGTGGTAAACGTTTAGAATTGAAACACATTCCTAAACGTTTTAAACTCTAAACACGTTCTGATGTGTTTGAATGCTAAACACTGTTTTTACAGTGTACTCTTGAGATTTTTGCGAAAACACGAGATGTGCAATAGTCATGGAACACTATTGTTGGTTACGGCTTCGGTCGTTTCAGCGCCGTTTTGACAGCTAAAAGGTTTGAAAAAGGCTTGTCAGATTTCATACTTCAGATGCAAATGCATTAAAAAAAATCTTACAATTGGAAACTCGAAGCCTTTAACCAAGGTTTGAGAAATGGTGTATTTGCTGTCATTTTGCAAGCACGCTTCATTTTGGGCGGCTCGCAGTGGCAGGCAGTTGTTAACACATTGAGGAAAATAATTTTCAATATTGAATAAAAGCCTTCTGATTGAAAGCAGTCGAAGGGTGTTCCTTTCATATTTCAGAATATTTCTGGAAAAATGGCAAGTACCATTGTGAACTTGCGCTGGCTGCTTTCTCAGACTGTAAAAAGCTACTCCCTCCGTATAAGGAAACCGTTGTGTTATATTCTTTTGTCATCTCCAATTCCTTGGGATTTTAAGCCTACAGTGTCTGCTCTTTTTTTTTTTAATTCGCCGGCAACGAATGAGCATTAAAATAAGCGGAATTCCTGCATCCATTCTCCGTTCGCACGTGTCTGGAGTGCCCGCATCCTCCTAGCAAGAATCAATGCGGTTCACTATGTCGCCATGGCAACCGAGTGGAGAAAAGCGCGCCAACATCAAGGAGGGCGCGACTTTTAGCTGTGGGTCTTTTTTCTTTAATACTGAATAGAATTCATTTGAGTCGACCCCGGATCAATGTCTGAACTCAGAACCCAGAATGGGGTTACTATTGGAATTCACGAGGAGTTCTGCTGAAAGCCATTTCAGGACTTCGATTCTGAGGCCCGAATACGAATGTGAACATAAGTGGCATGCATGGCTGGAAATAATTCAAAATGTTGTGAATGCGCTATCAGGGTTTTTCTCTGAAAGCAGGAGGTCGTAGGCTCGAGTCCCACCCGAGTGAGTTTACCCAACTTTCGCTTGGAAGGTAACACACTGAGTAAACAGTGTTTATACGTCGGTGAAGGGCAAAACCTTACATTGATTGACATCACTCCGACGCAAATTCCATCTTATGAAAGCTACAGTTGTTGTTCCACCTCCCGAATATCTCCCCTTTGCAACACCACATTCTGCTCGTCAGTAAAAAGGACCGTTCAATTATTTTATATGAAGACTTGCATTTACGTATTCAGTCGACTCGAGATAACCATGTTTGGTTACCACAATATCACAGTTACCATTCACAAACCACACACCAAATTTGACCCCGGTGGTAGCGAAGAAGCCACGACGGTAGCCATTAGTGGTAAATATAACCTGACTGTTTTCATCAGTAGCTTCTCGACGGGACGCTCTACAACCGTATCTTGTGTTTAATGGCGACGTTTATGAGTGTTCCTGACTTGAAGGCCCGGCATTTTATGCTGAGGATGTACTGCGAGCTAGAATTACCCGATGCAAAAAAAAACAAAATGTGAAGCTTCAAGCTGCCAAAGAGTTTAGCTTCAGACACGTATAATTCTGGTGCTGCGATTTGCACTCAACGACCTATGCGGCAACACAGAGCGAGCACGATTTGGCTTTGAATCAGGTTACGGGGTGGAAGTTGTACCCAGTAGACTGCGGCTATAGGGAGCTAGCTGGAAGCAAGTTGATCTATGTATTCCATTTAAATCTAACCACAGCTTTTAAGAGTGTGTGAAGATACTTCGTACATCAATTCAACAATTTATTATTCAACTTTAAAGAAACACACATGAAACTGAAGATATCAGAGATTGTTGAGGAGACTTTTTGTCGCCACTTTTATCACCTCAATACTCGGCCCCAGCACGGTTAAAATTCTTTCACACCATTCTCTGCTCACTCCATCGCTCCGCTCTTAACTTACTCGCATATTTTTGTTTCGCAACATAAATCTTGACCCAACCAAATTAATGGCGGCCTTAAAATCACACAGACAGGCATACACGATAAACATGTAAAGATTAACACCGACCATCACAGTAATGAGATTGCCGGAGGTCCGGGGCATGAGGCCCGCAAATGATGATGATGATAATAAACGGACCAAGGTAGCCGCTGCTGCTGATGACTAGTAAGCTTAATTAATTGAATCTCCCCAGACTTGCTGCCGCTAGAAACTTCACAGTATAGCTCCTACAAAGAGTATAGGCCTATGAGATATAAATTGTTTGTGTCACTACTTTCCATGCAGTGTATCGTAACACTAACTGAACTTGAAAGATGGCGATATGAGAACACACTCACAAAATGTTGGTATTTTGCTCAAGGTTAGTCAACATACCAACTGCCTACACTCTTGGGCAAATTCGTCCCAAAAGCCGGTCAATTTACCCTAATTCATCAGCAAGTTAGGTAACTACGATGGGTAAATAACATTGCCCAACATTGTTTTAACCAACCTTTTTTCCTCCACTGGTCGGTATTGATAAGCTTTCTGAAGAGATGAACCATACACATGGGCGTCTCCGGGATTTGATCTAGAGAGGGGTGGGAGCAAAACACTCACCCGAAGCAAAGGGAGAAACCACCGGCCGTGGTTGAAAATCGACACCCATGTTGTTAAAATATTCAATTTCATTTTCCATGGAACTAAAACGTGCATACGAGCAAACGTCAACGGCAAACGACTGGCTTTTGAATAAAAAATGTACATTTGAACAGTGAAGAGTGACAATTTTATGAAAAATAATTGTTTGTAATGATTAATTTGTACTTACATCGTTTCATGGATTCTAGAAATTAAGCATGGCTAATGAACCGATTAATTGGGGAAGCTTCAAGCACCACATATAGACGTGATCACGATTCTTCGTAAAAATTCTCTGATAGATTTGCAGTAATTTAGAGCTATGACAAAGCTTAATGAGCCAGAACCATGGGGCGTCGGGGGGGGGGGGCAAGGGGGCACTTGCCCCCCCCCCCCGGAAAAGCAAAAAAAAAAAAAAAAAAAAACAAGGAAGAAAAAAAAGAGAAAAAAGAAAAGGAAAAGAGGCGCGAAGTCATAGTGGTGTAAATTTAATGGGGGGGGGGGAATGTCCCTGCCCCCCTCTAAAATTGATAAATCGAGGAGATGTTGAGAAATACAGGATTTTTTTGGGGGGGGGGGGAATATGTTTTGCCCCCTCTAGAAAAAATCCTGGCGACGCCCATGGCCATAACACATACCATAGTATCGATAAAATGGCTTGGAAGAGATTAGTACATACAGGGTGCTCCCAAAATGTTGTGCAAGTAGATATTCTTTAATTTCTCAAAAACTATGAGTGTTTCATCTTGATGGAGCATATTAATTATACTCTTGTGTATAATCAGTGAAAATGCCATGGAAATCTGTTCATGCAAACCAGAGATCTAACAGAGTGCAGAAGGCTATGATTTTGTCACCCATTCCATGCAATGGGATTTACACAGTTGGTGATATAAGTGAATAAGATTATCATGGGCCTTTTCACTCTGATGTGAATTAAGTTAATTAACTGTGTAAATCCCATCCCATTGGAATGGGTAAAAAAAACATAGTCTGTTATAATCTGTTAGATCGCTGGTTTGCATGAACGGATTTCCATGTCATTTTTACGGAATATACACAACAGTATAGGCCAAATGAACGTGCTCCGTCAAGATGGAATACTCATGTTAAGTAGTTTTTGAGAAATTAAAGGATATCTGCTTGCACAACTTTTTAGGACACCCTGTACACTTCGCCGTGGTATGGAATTGTTTGCATTCACACAAATCAGGAAATTATTAGACGCGATGTGGTCTAATGTCTCCTAAAATCTCCCATTCAGTGTTTGCTTTTTTCCATATTTGGAAAACAAGTGTTGTTGTTTCTTAACTAGGAAAGTGACAATCCTATCCACACATTTTTTTTCCAAATTTGGAAAACAAGTGTTGCTGTTTTTTTAACTATAGGAAATTGACAAGTCTATCCACACGACATCCACTTTCACATTAATTATCGTTACCAAATTAACATCACCATGTACACGTTGCAAATCATTGCTTTTCGTGCGATAACTAATCAGATTAGGAGAAGGCCATATAACCCTTCAAATGTCTACTTGAGACAGAGGTTGAGATGTGTAGAGAATTAGTCTGGCCCTGGCTTTACCTTCCCTGGATCTCCTGTGAGACAGAGGTCAAAGTATAATACACCCTGGGAAAGAGGTCAGTCCGCACAACCCCTCAAAGGTCTCACTGAGACTGCAGAGGTTGAGATTGAGTAGGCACCGGGAACGAGTCTGGCCCTGGTTTAGCCCCTTGTTCTATTCCCTGGCTCTCCTATGAGACAGAGGTAAAAGTTAAATACACCCTGGGAAAGAGGCCAGTCCATAACCCTTCAAAGGTCTACTTGAGACAGAGGTTGAGATTAAGTAGACACCGGGAACGAGTCTGGCACTAGTTTACCCCCTTGTAATCTTCCCTGGCTGTCCTATGAGGCTGAGGTAACGGTAAAATACACCCTGGGACAGAGGTCGGTCCAACCCAAGTATCTCTCAGAATTTGACAGGGCTGCATGCAAGCCTAATGTTTCTTCTGTTATCGATCCTGCAGGGTGCTTCGCTTCCGAAAAGGCCGACGAACTCTTCTATAAGTTGACCAACGAGAATCACTACAACCCGCTGATCCGACCGGTCTTCAACGAGTCTGAGGCGGTAATGGTCAAGTTCGGCTTGTCCATATCACAACTCATCGACGTTGTAAGTCATGGGAGCTTTTCTTTCCTTTTCAAACATCAGATTCGTCCCTAGTTCGGCTCTATAGCTTCACGAATCACACCCCTGTGTGATAAATGATAAAAATGGCTCCCTATCAGCCTCAGAAACGTAACATCACCTAATATGAAGGCAAAGGCTTAAGTAAAATTCATAATGAGAATTTCATTCTTGTTAATGTGTAAAACTAATCGGGAACCAGTCTTAATGTGTACCAAATTAGACACTACAAATATAATGGAAAACAGACACTGACATATGGTGAAACATCGTTATTTCAAGTATCTGTATCTTACCAAGTATTATCCCGAGCACATGGCCTAGTACAAGCCGGGTAAACCATGGGTAAACCTGAGCATGGAGACATAGGAGAACCAGGCTACAATTAGGGAGGCTTTGGAAACCTAGGTTTCATTGCAGCTTTAGTTTCAGGAGATATGAATCCTCATTTTGGGGACTAATCATAAGCTCAACGTGGGTCCATGTTCTGTATTGTCATTTTATTCCACAAGAAAATGTTTAACATTTAGAAATAACTCTGGAGCCCACATGGAGGCAGTGCCGGTGACGAAACCAGGATTTGGCTTATGTCCCCGTTTGGGTATTGGCCAATCAATATTTATTTGTCAAACTTTGAAAAAGGGGGCGAAAGTGCAAATCAATACAGTTTGATAATCAATCACAATAAGGTTCAATCGTCCGTGGTACCTAACGCAAATGCTGCATGGCCGGTGTGTTAGTATACAAATAACGAATGTTTGTGAGTGCGATGGTAAGAATAATTTCATGAGGTGACAGATTGAATGTTCTATTCCACGAGGCGAAGCCGAGTGGAATAGAACATTCAATCTGTCACCGAATGAAATTATTCTTTCCATCGCACGAACGTAAAACATTCGTTATTTGTTTTATACAACACCTGAATAAATTCTCGTCATTTGATTGGTAAATTATAAGCTACAATTTATTTTGATTTTAAAGATGTTGAACTACCCCTTCACGAAAATGTTTGAACCCAACGCTGTAGCGCTGGCTCTTTGGAACAATACGCGCTACGCTGAACGCGCACACCAGCATGCATTTTGCACGCAAATACCGCGTCATGGAACAAGCGCAAAGTGAAACGGTATAACGCATGGGTATAACGCATGGTCGCACCGTGCATTATACCGAATAATAATATGTCACGTGATCCACAATTCACCAATCAGATGACGGGGATTTATTCAGGTGTTGTATAATATGCCCTATCGGCTGGTTTTAAAAGCTGACTGGACTATGGCCGCAGCCAAATCTCATGTCTAGAGCTACGGTCTAGGTCTTCAATGACAACCACATGGGAAAATGCTGACCATAGACGGCGCCGTAGCTCTAGATGTTCGTTTGTTGAAATATCATGGTACCTCAGACTCCTCGGTCTCGAACACCACCACGATTCACCCATTACCAGCTGTACAGTTTGCTTCCATCATTAAATATTATGGGATGTGAGTTACGGTGAATGACTTTATCTGGGTACCATATTTAGACACAGATGACACGTTTTGTAAAATCGATTCGAACCCTTCAGTTGCAGCCAAGGGCGGATCCAGGGGGGGGGGGGGCGGCCAAAGGGGGCCATGCCCCCCCCCCCCCAAAACGAAACAATTTTTTTTTTTTTATGTGACATCGCAATAAAGGCAGGCAATGAGTACACCACCATCTTTTCCTCAAAAAAACATTGGTTAAAGTGGTCAGAAATTGCCTCAGATCGCACCACAGAGCATCTAGAATCCAAAAAATTTTCGGGGCCCTTAAGCGGGCCCCGAACCCCACGCCGTAATTTTTTTGACCCACTTTTTGGGGGACCAATTTTTTTTTTTGCCCCCCAAAAATTGTGTTCTGGATCCGCCCTTGGTTGCAGCACCATTATTGCTTGTGGTACCCAGCCTTTAATCTTTTGAAGGGGTTCGTAAATTTTGGTATAAAATTCGATGGTCATATCCATTTGTTTTTCTACATTTGCAGGACGAGAAGAACCAGATCATGACAACGAGCGTCTGGGTCAAACATGTGAGTGATTTTGAAGCACTAATCATTGAACATTGATCGTGGAACATTGCCACAATTGCTATTTGAACATATATACCCTATATCGACTCTACCATACCAAAAACAGTATACCCATGATTCGAGTCTTAGTCTGAATGACTTGGCTACGGCTGGACATAACACACGGGTCTCTGGGAAGTGGCTGCAGCCACTTCCAGGGGCACGTGTGTAATTTCAAGCCAAGTATTTCGGTGACACGGCACTAGATCCAGTTTTTCGTTGGAGCCCTCGAACTGCGTTCCGCGTATACGTCAAAGTAGATCGTCCCCATTGATGTCACAATTTGTCAATAGGCTGATCTGTTTATGTCTTCTTTGTTCCCTTCGTACAGTCTTGGACGGACCGTCATCTGACGTGGAACCCCGACGAGTATGACGGAATTACATACATACACATCCCTTCAAGCCTCTTATGGCGGCCAGATATACTTTTATACAACAAGTAAGTTCAGTGGGAGTCTTTTGGGTTTCAGATAACTACATTTCGTGTCTTTCCCTCCCCTCCTGCTTATAGGGATAGCCCATTCCTCCTATGATGACATTATTATTAAAATATTGGTTAATATTTTTTTTTGTCTTTTGCTTGTAGTGCGGATGGTTACTTCGATGTGCGGTTTCTGGTCAATGCAATCGTCTATCACGACGGCACCGTGCGCTGGCTGCCGCCGGCCATATACAAGAGCTCCTGTAAAATCAACATCGAGTTCTTCCCCTTCGACGAACAGGAGTGCCGAATGAAATTCGGGCCATGGACCCACGAGAGCCGCAAGGTGGACATGCTCGATGAGCAGAACATTGTAGACCAGGAGGATTACTCTGAGAACGGGGAGTGGAAGATCGTAGAATCCCCCGCCATCAGGCACATCATTGAGTACCCTTGCTGTGACGAAGCCTTCGTGGATGTCACCTTCTACTTCAAGCTGCACCGGAAGCCCCTCTTCTACGTCGTCACCTTGGTCATCCCCTGCATTCTGATATCATTCCTCACCATCTTAGTCTTCTACCTGCCTGCTGACGCCCAAGAGAAGATCACTCTGTCCATCTCCATCTTACTGGCCTTGATTGTGTTCCTCCTTCTCATCCCGTCCATCATTCCTCCCACCTCCACCACCCTGCCTCTGATCGGCCGCTACATGCTCTTCACTATGGTGCTGGTAACCATGTCCATCACGGTCACCGTCGTGGTCATCAACATTCACTTCCGGAGTGCCAGGACTCACATCATGCCCAACTGGGTCCGGACGGTGTTCCTGTACTACCTGCCCAGGATGCTCAACATCCACCGGCCTGGAGGCCTGGAACTCCCGTCCGGCAAGAAGTACAAGTCCATGACGAAAAACACGAACTACACGCCGGCCAGCTACAACGCCCCGCTGCGCGGCAAGTACTTTTACGACCGGAAGTTCATGAGGTCGGGGGCTAAGTACATGGTGAACACAATCACGCCCTCGCTGCTGGAAGAGATCCAGTTTCGAGACCGGCAGTATTCGGACGCTAGTGACTCGATGCCGTTGTCGAAGGAGTGTACGGAACTTATCGATCATGTGGAAACCATTGCCAAGCATTTTCAAATGGAGGATGAACATTACAAAGTGAGTATGCTGTTTTGAAAGTTCATCGCTATATATTGTGATTAGATAGCAAACCAAATAGCACATTGTAATCTAACATTTGCCACTCAGTTGTTTTGCTCAATAATCTCTGGTGAAGGTATTTCATATATCACTTTGTGTTTGTAATTGTGAGATGTAAACAACGCTTCGTGTTGTTTTTGGTTTTGGCAGGGAATGGAAGATTGGAAGTTCGTCGCCATGGTGATTGACCGAGTCTTTCTGTGGGTGTTTGCCATCATGTGTTTCTGCGGCTCGCTTGGTATCATCCTACGATCACCTGTCTTCTGGGAAGGCCCTAACTTCCACCAAGCTTCAAACTACACCAAGCCTATACGCCTCAACACAACGACATATGGCCGGCCGGATATCTCATAGTCACCGTTTAATCATTCATACTTCCGCTTGGGGGCGCCCTAGGCCCTGATGTTTTCTAATTCCCCGCATGGTCGTTAGGTTTTTATGAAAATTAAGGATCAGTTGACATTATTGATCGATAAGGGTATCCGATGATTTTATTGTCACGTGTATTTCTGGCATCCTGAAATCACGTGATTATCCGGTCGCCATTGATTGGTTCAGTATTAAAGTAACAGTTTGCATGGAGCTACTGCCATTGTATAATACACGTCTGGTTACTAGACATTTTTAAGGAAGAATGAGGCATATTATGTTGACTAAAGATTCATTCATTTATTAAAAAAAAGAAAAAAACTCACACAGCTCTTCCACTTTTCAATAAACGTTTGTACAGTATATAATCCAGTTTATAGTCGACTTTCCTGCTTGCAATTTCGTTACGACAAGCAAAACGTTTAAACATAAAACCCCGTAGTTAAAGTTGTATTAATGACCTATTACGCCTTCAGGTATAAAACGTCTGATGACTCGATGCTGTCGGTGTGTTGAATAATCTATGGTGTGTGTTCATACTTCACAAGTACATAATGAAAAGAATCATTATTCGGATGATTGTTGTAAAAAATACAGTGAGAAAATCCATGAAACTATGAAGCGAAATTTCCTTTACAAGTTTGCTGCACTTTTTGGCTTATACACGTACACACGGAAATTGTGCGTCTTCATCAATAGGCCTACATTGCCTATTTATGTTTATGAGCGAAACTCGTTTTGGAACATTTTCAAGAACGCATACATTGTTTTGGGATTTGCGGGAAAAAATGTGTGTCAGATAAGGCCAAAAAAAGAAAGTCTCCGGTTTCTGGTATGCGCGCGCGTCGCCGTAGCCATGCGCGTCGGCAAAATGAAAACGTGTTTTTTTTTCAATGAAAGATGATGTCTCAAAACCGCCAAACTCACTGGTTTGACTGGAATCCTGCTGCTGCACAATTTTAACGTGTTTTTAGATTGGGTTTTGGTCGAGAATAAGCTTTATGTGGCCTCTCTGGACTCCCATATATTTGCACAAAGTTTAGTCGGGCACCATTTGCAGTCATCAGCCGACAATTGAAGCAAAAAAAATCAGATAAAAAAAAAAAGCCGCGTCGCCGCACCACTTTTCGGGCAAGCTCCATACCAGAAACCAGAGACTTTTTTGGGGGGGGGGGGGCTAAGGTAGGAATGCTCGATATTCATAATTAATTCGTGGCTAAAGTATAATTGAAATGCCATGTTGTTTTAAAAGTGCTTTCTGTTTATTTGATTGGTAACACATGGGAATATGTATCGCCAATAAGTCATAAAATCCTGTGTAAATGTTGCAAATGATACTTGTATTTACATTTGGGATTGTTTTTTAATGCGGTTATTACACTTGTAAATTTCATTGAACTGTTCAGCTATTATTACTAAGTTTATATAGTTAATCTTGTGTATACTTCTGAGGACTTTGATTACCTGTTAATGACTTTCTGAAGACGAGTGTATTGATTCTGTTTTCTAATACTACTCCGCCATTGTGTTATAATAGGACCTTATAACTGCAATGCACTGACTGCCGGCAAATCAAATTATCTGCCGTGTACTATTGTATAATGAAGACGTCCCAGCGCCGAACCCTAATTGATTTCCTTGACGACACGAGAGGAAACATTGGCCCAGCGATTTGCGTGATAGTGATTTTATTTGCCCAATTAACGCCGCTTGAAAGCCGCGTGGGCCGGCGATCAGCTGCGGCCCCCGCCCGTTCCGCGCAACGTCTGGCCCGCCGGGACAGGCCTTCCCTTCCCCCGCTCCAAAGCACCAGACCCCGCGGAGGGAAGCGAACATTAAGACCGAACATGTTTCCATTATCAAACAGCTGTTTTGGCAACTCTTGTTTCCCGGCATAAACTGCTCATAATATACTCGTCGGTTGTAGACAAAGCGTGCCGAACATGCTCACTTGAAATTCGCTGGTAATTACTGAAATGTCAGCTAGCAGGGAGAGTGGGGCTAGTGCGTGTGCATTGTCGGCTTGTACACCGTCGTTTTTAGCGACTCAACCGCCGAAGATGACTAACACACTACTGGCTGTTAAAGATGTGTCTGTTGCCGACTGTTATTTTCCCTCCTAGTGATCGCATCATGGCGCAAGTGCTTTTGGGGTTCTTTCATGTTCGAATATTAAAACAAAATGCCTTTCCCAGCATGCATGGTCGGGCAAGCTTCTCTGCTGCATAACGAAGAAATAAATTTCAATACTGCTCAAAATAATGGTTACGTTGATATGTCACACAACAGTTACCTTATCTCACAAACGAATTCTCTCAAAGTAAAGACATTGTCGTACCACCTTCGCTCATCAGTGTCATAATTAATTGACACCACACACTACTTAGTCTTACCAGATCCCATCCCCCACCGGCGGAGGCATATTATTAATACCCATTTCCGTGCGCCGTGCGGGCAAAACGGTGCATTCGCTTTGTATCCCTCCGCCGCCCGCGGTGGTTTACTTACACAATCCCGCCGAGCAGCTGTTGTGATGAGCGCATCTCGTGTTTTGGCGGGAGATTAATCTGCTTTATGGAAAGCGGGAAACAGAAATGGCAATTGCTATGAGTGACAGGCGGTATACGGCTGACGCCTGCTCAGGGAACCTTTGCGTGCAATTAATCATCACGCGGCCCAGGTACAAGAAGGTAGCAATGAGTAATTTTTAGGCGAACAGTAAACTTCCAAAATGACTCCCGGACACTTCTGAGGTCCAACAGGGGTGCGTCCCGTGTAGCTTAAAGGGCCCGTCGGATCACGTAGCGGCCATGGCGATTCGCGTGTAGACCTATACCTTAGGCATCGGTGTCGCAAGCTGAGGTGCGCCTTTAACGCATGTAAAGTAATGGCAACGGTGTTTTATCTTTTAATGCAAACTGTGTGAAATGTGCATCTCCAAAACACCTTCCACAAATTGAACTGTAATGTATGTGCCCGGAATGATAAGGGGTTCACAGAGAATCCACTGGGTATTGTTAAAAGAAGTTAGGGGCACTTTATCTTTAGTCAACCCTTCTGAGCGCTGAAACTTCCCTCATAATACAGTATTGTGGTCACATAGGCCCATATAAAATAAGGTTTGTTTTTATAACTATATTTCCAATTTGTTTTTAATTCCATCTTGAGATTTTTTTAATACTGAGAAGCTGACTTTTATTCAACTTTGCTGACTTGCAGTTATGCATAGGTAATTACGCGTTTTTAGTCAATGTTTCGTTATCTGGGCGTTGTATGCTATAGATTGTTTGCACTGCAGCCATGTTTGAGGTGTGTGCTTTTGTTCCACAGTGATACGCATGAGTAAACCTCTTGTGCATTCATTGTGAAGGAATTAACATAGCAAAACACACCTCCAAGATGTCTGCTGAATGCAATCCATCTATTACCAAAGAGAATGCATGTTTTTTTGGTTCTACGCACTAAAAAATCGCCTGCGTTAATTTTAACAAAGCAAGGGTGAAAACTGCAACTTCCCAAAATTGGTTTGTCCTTTACCCAATTGTTTGGGTTAGAATTTCGGCTAAATTGAACCAAAACTTGAGGTCATACCAGACTAAATTTAATCTGGTCTTGTATGACCATAAGTTTTTGTTGAATTTAACAGAAATTCTAACCCAAACAATTGGGTTAAGGACAACTCAATTTTGGTAGTTGCAATTTCACCCTTGCTTTGGTAAAATTAACCCAGGCAATTTTTCAGTGCGGTTCTCGCATGACGAACTCTTATTTTCGTATTACTTAATTTCTATGCAAAACGTTTGCGTTTCTGTTTCTGTTTCTTAGAAGAGTTCCAATAGATGGAATTTTAAAGCATGCAAGAATTGGCTTACTCGAAGGACCTGCTTGACATAGGCATTTTTAGTTGTCAAGGAATGAGGTTCGGGTGGCTTGCTGAAATGTCACAACGAAAAGCAATAATTACATCGACAAGTTGATCTTATTTTATGATTATGCGATTTGTATATCGTTAAAGGTAGCACCTATCTGTCCGTAAATAATTGTTATATTCTAATACAACTACTAATGATTCGAGCAAGAATTGTCAGGTCATTTTATTATTACTTTTTATCTTTCCCAATTATTTTGGTGGAAATAGTAGTTTCCAGAAATTTCGCAAAGGGCTTTCCATTCAATTTTCTTTTATTTTGTTTGTTTTGTGTTTCCAAATTAACAACTAAAGTCCTATTATCCCTGTGTATATCAAACCGTGCCTATATTTATTAACATTGCAACCGATTCAAATAGCGTTAGATTGAATTCGATACGGAAAAAAAATAAATCGTTGAACGAAATTGCTCTCACCAGAATTCCTTTTTTTATGAGTGATGTTAGGTTGTAATCCATTCCGTGGACTCTATTTCACGCTCAATTAATAACTCAAAACGGTTATCGGGGGGAAAAAACATGAAAAGACTGCTTGAAAAAAAAAAAATTAGAGCGGAAATTGGTATGAAATTACCTTCATTGTTGGTTTGTTGTGTGGTATAGATTTTCTCATAAGTTTAGACAGTTGATATATTGCTCCTATGCGTCGTTTCTTGACCGAAGAAATCTGTTTATCGATTGCCTATGTGTTTCTAGAATGAACTCAGGGTACCGACCTGCGTTGATATTTTGAGATTTTCGGTTAGGGTCTTAAATGTGTACAACGGCACATTTCGGCATTTATCAAGTACAGTCCTCTCTGCAGCATGGAAAACATGACCGCATGTGATAACACGTTAAGTTCACTGTTGTTTATAGAGCATTGATTCTCATCACGGGGAGGAACAGTAGCTATATAGATGACCAGTGTAGCTTCTTCGAATTCCAAGCCTTTACAACAATGTCCTAATAGTTTCACCTATATACTACATGATTAAGGGGACCCTTGTTACAACTGATAATGTAGTAACCAACGGATAATGTATCACCAACCGATAATGTCAAATAAATTAACCGATACTATTTGAATCCCACAGTTGTCAACTGAGCAATGTCAAGGTGATTCATAACACCTGCTATGACCACACCTGCATCCGGATGCTCTGTGGTAATCTGGTCAACTGATTGCTGAAGATGGTCACTCACATTACCTCCATAAGGATCCCCAGGTGTGGAGTAGATGGCGGCACAGTAAAGACCAGAGATCATTCGTGGAAGAAAGTTTAGTCTTATTCGCACCCAAACAATTCTATAGTTGTTCCTCATTAATGAGTGGAAGAGCATCGTTTAATACATGCTTCATTTCTGTGTCAAATTTAATTGCTTGCTAAGGGGGAAAATTATAATTCCAGGTCACTTTCCTTTTGACTCACCCTGTACATAATACATGAGGAATCCCTGGTTTCATTAGAAAGAAATAAAATATATAAATTAAAATAAATAAATATGCGCATTTACACCCATTATGTGCACATGCCGTGAAAAGGGCGATGCACAAGCAATATCATACATCTATGTGGGAAAAATTAAGTACAAAATTCAGGCATATTGGGTTAACATAAGCACTGGGATAAATGATTCGGGGAGGGGGACGCCATTGTCAAAAAAATAAGGGAGGCATCCCCCGGGATCGCCGCCCATGTAATGGTGTATCTACAAAGTTTTCCCAAGCCAGCATTCTCTATTTCCACGTATCTGATGTCGCAATTATTTTATTTCGTCCGCTCTATGTCTCACTTTGTTTTCATATAGCGATATTGGCTCTGACTGGTACGCGTACGGCCCTAGTATAGAGCTTTAGGGCAATGAAATTGATACCTCATTTAAAGAATGGGAATTATCCCCTAGAGCAATTTTTTTACCAGCAGTC